GACTTACAGGACTCCACTACCATCAACATGCTTACTGGACTTAATAATGGAAATAACAGATTAACATCTTCAATAGCTGAGATACTAGGCCATGAATCAGTTACCGTAACACTTTAAAAGGAATAAAAGACTAAGTCAAACAAATAAGACCAAGTCAGACTATTACTAAACTATTAACTCCACTAAACAATTACTCTCATAGCCACCTGGGCCTAGGCCTGACCAACAACCCATAGCCCACGTACATCACATTACTTCCCCTTTAGAAGACCTTGTCCACAAGGTCGGGGAATTCCTTAGCCAATAGAGAATATTCCACCCAAGAAGCTTCATCACTGTTGAGCCCCTTCCACTTCACTAACAGTTCAAGAACTGCCCGATTATGCTTCTTCGTCAGCCTTCGTTCTAAAATTTCACCTCGTTCTGGCTTGATACAACCCTTTGAGCTTGTGGGTGGAAGTGTGGCGACCAACTGATGGTGATCCCCCAATTTTTTCTTAAGGCATGAGATGTGAAACACAGGATGTATCTTGGCGTCGGGAGGAAGCTCAAGCCGATATGCGACTGCACCGATGCGCTCAAGGATCTGGTACGGGCCATAAAATCGGGGGGATAATTTCAAGGCACGACGTTGGACCACCGAATGTTGTTTATAGGGTTGTAATCGAAGATAAACCCAATCTCCAACATTAAAACTCCTCTCTGTACGCTTGAGGTCAGCAAACTTCTTCATTCTGTCTTGCGCCAACTGTATATTTGAATGGAGGATAGCAATAATTTCATCTCTGGTCTTCAGGGTATCTTCCACTGCTTGTATGCCTATTGTGCATGGTGTGTACTGAAGTAGTTTAGGAGGAGGATGTCCATAAACTGACTCAAAGGGGTGAGCTTGGTGGAAGCATGAACGCAGGTATTGTACCAATATTCAGCGAGTGCAAGCCATTTTACCCATCCCTTCAGCTTGTCCNATCCCTTCGGCTTGTCCGCAGAAAAACACCTGAGAAACTGTTCAACCATCTTGTTGACAATTTCTGTCTGACCATCCGTTTGAGGATGGTAGGCCGAACTGAACTTTAGAGTAGTCCCCTGCAATTTGAAAAGCTCCTTCCAAAAATTGCTAGTAAATGTAGGGTCTCGGGACGTAACAATTGACTCGGGCATACCATGCAATCGAAAAACATTTGTCAGGAAAAGATTTGCAATTTTACTGGCAGTGTAAGGATGAGAGACTGGAATAAAATGAGCATATTTGGATAACCGATCGACGACGACCATAATAACACTGTACCCATCAGAACTAGGCAAGCCTTCAATAAAGTCCATAGAAATATCAGTCCATACCCTAGAAGGAATTGGAAGGGGCTGTAGCAAGCCAGCTGGTTGAATGTTTTCAGATTTATGTCGTTGACAAATATCACATTCCTTGATGAAGTTTCTGATGTCGCCCCTCATCCCTTCCCAATAGAACTCTCTTTTAGCTCGGTGTAGCGTCTTGTGATAGCCAGAATGGCCTCCTTGAGGACTGCTATGCAATAATTGGAGAATTTGATTCCTCATATCAGTAAAAGCCCCAATGTACAATCTGCCTTTGTAGAATAATAAGCCATCCTTCATGGTATATTTCTGGTTGTCCAGAACTCCCTGCTCCAATTTCTGTAGAACATCTTGCAGCTTAGGGTCTTGAGTGTAACTGGTTCGGAGTTGGTTCAACCAAGAAGTGGAAGGCAATGTAAGTGCAGACAATGCTCCTTCTTTTTTGAATTCCAATTTTCGAGATAAAGCATCAGCAACCTTATTTTCCTTCCCTCGCTTATATTCCACTACAAACTCATACCCCAAAAGCTTGGTAATCCACCTTTGTTGAAGAGGTGTACCCACTTTTTGCTCGAGTAGATATTTAAGGCTTTGGTGATCTGTTTGCACTTTGAAAGTATGCCCAAGAAGGTAAGATCTCCATTTTTTGACTGCTAGGACCAATGCCATTAATTCCTTCTCATAGGTAGATAAATGTAGAGCCTTTCCACTGATTGCTTGGCTCATATAAGCGATTGGTCTGCCCTGTTGCAGTAACACATCTCCAATTCCAACACCATAGGCATCACATTGAATAGTAAAAGGAATAGAAAAATATGGTAAAGCTAGAACAGGAGGACTAGTCACAGCACATTTAAGGTCTAGGAAGGTTTGTTTTGCTGTCTCGGACCAGTGGAAAGAGTTTTTTTTTCTTAAGAGAGCTGTCAAGAGTACAGCTATGACCTCGTAGCCCTTAATAAATTTCCTACAATAGCCTGTTAGGCCTAGGAAACCTCTTAGGGATTTTAAGCTGTTTGGGAAAGGCCAATCAAGCATAGCTTCAATTTTTGTAGGGTCAGCCTTAACACCATTCTGAGAAATTAAATGACCAAGATATTCTATTTCAGCACATCCAAAATAACACTTGGAATTTTTTGCATAAAGTTGATGCTGGAGCAGAACATCTAAAACAATCTTTAAATGTTGTACATGGTCAGATAAGGATCTACTATAGACCAATATATCGTCGAAAAAGACAAGGACAAATTTTCGTAAGTATGGTTTAAAGATTGTATTCATAAGACTTTGGAAGGTAGCTGGAGCATTGGTAAGCCCAAAGGGCATTAACAAAAATTCATAATGGCCGTCATGGGTTTTAAAGGCCGTTTTGGGAATATCTATACGATCTACCCTAATTTGATGATAACCAGACCTTAGATCAAGTTTGCTAAAAATAGTTGACCCATGTAGCTCATCTAAGAGTTCATCAACTATGGGAATGGGAAATTTTGCTTTGATGGTGTCCTTATTGAGGGCCTTATAATCAACACAAAGTCTCCAACTTCCATCGTACTTTCTCACAAGCAAAACAGGAGAGGAAAAAGGAATTTGGCTTGGCCGAATGATTCCAGATTCTAACATGTCATGAACCAATTTTTCTATTTCAGTTTTTTGGAAGTAGGGATATCTGTATGGGCCAACACTGACTGGTTTAGTACCTGGCTGTAACACTATATGGTGATCGTAGTTTCGGGAAGGGGGTAGTCCTTTTGGTTCTAGGAACACACTAGTATATGTATTCAATAGGTTCTGAATGAGTGGTTCATTAGAAGAGTGTAAGGACATTAGTTGGGCAGGTTCAATTAATTGAAGGATTAACCCCCTATGATTTTTCCTTGTCAGTTTACCAAATTTTTCCCCTTCTACTAACAAAATGCCAGTTGAAG